AGCCGAATGGATTCGAAAACGGTAAAACTCAACTGTTTAACTCTAGGGGAGTTGGAAAATGAGCCTATTTTCAAAAATAGTGGAGTGTTCCTTTAATGAGTCCTTGCTGAAAAGTAATAAAAAATAAAAATCTCACTGACTTTTAAACAGTTGTATATAATAGCATTAGAATCTTATTATGATACAATAATATTTTTATGTCCTGATTTAATTAGTTTTACATGTTATTTCAAGACCGTCAAGCCTCAAGCCATTTTTGTGCTTGTTAGTTACACTAAAAATGATCAGTCAATGCAAACAGGCCTATACAGCTTACCTCCTTTCCCCTGGCCGAGAGCCCTGAATCTCCACCGATACGACCTTTGATGTTCAGATCACTCTCTCCATGCCGGCACAAGTAGATGGAGCGGGGCGTGATGTGGATATTCATGAGGTAGTACACTATTCGGCTCTGTATGTGGTCCTGGACTCGGTTCACCAGGTACCGCCGCCCCACATCAATGATCTTAATAAACGAAAGGTCCCTGAACAAACCAAAAAAAAAAAACTGTGTGAAATTCATAGATTCATAGTTTGGATTCAGCAGCACCGAAATGGCATTTACCTGTCCAGTTCCTCATCCAGTGGCTGATAAGAGTTCTCATAACATTTTATCCTCTTCATAAAGTCTGCGACGGCCTCTTCTGTGTTACAGTGTGTGTAGTCTGGACTGCCCAACTTCACTTGCTGAACACCAAGACCACCAATTTAGACAAAAAAACAACACAAGATAAAGGTATTGAAGATGTTCTGCAGTTCTGAGACTTACCACAATGTTCTCGGCAATAACATCCGGGTCTTCACACACAGATTCCACAAAGAAAACCTGAGGGGTGTGAAAAGAGTGTTTTAAAAGAGCGAACAAATGAGAAACACAGCTTAGATGAATGATCCCATATCCAGCACCTTGAAACCATTCTGCTCTGCAAATCTGAGGATCGTCTCCCTCCTTTCTCTTGTTGTGTTTGTGGCATCAAAAACCTAAAGATTGTAAAGCAAAATGGGTACATGCATACAAAAAGGAACTGTTACATTGCAACTGAAGTACTTGAGCACAGTATTTTTACCCATATGAGATTCTATATTCTATACACATGATGTTTTCTTACCGCTACCTGGCCGCCTTCGTCTGTGAGGAACTGCCGTACATCACTGAGAGCTGCCAATGCACACTGCCTAGAAGAGACAAAAAAAATCACATGAGCTTTCATTTCACATTCTGAATGGTTGCCGCTGATAAAAATCAATGTCTTACTTCCTGATTTTAAGCCCCTCTTCATTGTCTGGCCGAAAGAACTCAAAGGATTTGTAGATCTTCACACATTCACGTCTGTACTGCCCAACGTTAAACTCTGCGAAGTTAAAACACCAAGACAAGTCCATTTCTGGATGAGCAAAACATCTGTAACAACAAATTCATGGCCAGCATTTCAAGTCACAAATATGCATTTTACCTTTTGTTGGAACATCAATCCAGTTGAGGTAGCGTGTCAGTTTCTTGGAGATGTAGGTCTTTCCTCTGGCTGGTAGACCAACAGTTACTATAAGTGTGGGGCAGTTGGTCATGCATACTGAAAGACAAAAAAAAGGCGATCATAAAAAACTAAGCAGAGATGTGTAACAATAATATTCTTCCTATATACTGCAGGTGAACTGTCGATCATCACACCACATGGTGTAAAGAACTGAAATGTTTTAATCTATGTGCAGTTAAGGTGACCTTTTTATTGCTTTAATAAAATCTGTGAGTTGTCATTGTAGAGCATAAGTAATTTCGGTATCTCCTCATCGAACTGCATATTATCATATCAACTTCCACATAGTCCTGCAATTTAAAATGGGTGAAAATGATATGATGTTTCTGATCTGTACACAAAAATACTCCAACATTTAAATTAGTACAGCTTTTTAGAGGTGAAACATTTCTTTAACAAATCAAGAACAGAGCAATTTTACAAAAGCAATATTTAGCTGCTGAAATATTTTAGAGACAGCATTACTGATAATGTAGAGATGAAAAATTTATTTTTATTATAGAAATTTCCATGAATAACTTTGACTGGCTTAGGAAACATAATTTTAAAATTCCCTTATATTTCCAGGTTTTCCATAATCATGGGAACACTTAATATAGATGAAATAATGGCACTGTAAATATTTTATATATTCAAGTATATATTTTTTTATTATTAATAATATTATACTATATTTATAGTTTATTTTAATATGCACATACTAGTGCACAATTTAAATTGTTATTACTAAACGCTATATAGGCTACAAATATAAATATAACTCGTAATCATCCATTTTAATTTATGAAATTTAGTCTATTTGACACGTTTGATTACATTTTTTTAAATGCAATCAAACAAAACGCTTCTAGAATTATTTAAGTCCAGCTCAAACCATCGTTAAATTGTATCGCCATATAAGCTTTGCATCAGAAAGCCTCTTTAACACGCATCTGACTCCAGCATCAGTGTCCGGTTCTCATCCATACTCACCCTTCCTTTGACTAATGTGTCTGTCTGGAAGGCCGTTAGTGGAGGATGGCACCCATATTTTCTTTAAAGGATTCTGTGTGAGCTCTCGGGTTAGACTGTTACCGCTTTGCTCCGTGCTGTCCTCTGTTGCATTCATTTTATCCGTCGTCTCTACACACAAGCGTCCATTACCATCAGTGAGCACTAAAGACGGCGCTGAACAATAACTGGTAGAGAACAACACTACCGTAACAGCAGCGGGAAATGCGCACCTACTACACTTTACCATAATGCCTGGTGTGTTTTTACATTGTGATTGATTAACATAGACAAATACACGGCGATTAGGACATACATAATAATCAAAAAATAAGTGTTTAAGCGGCTTGGTCTATACAACAGTCTAAATTTTAATACTTATATAATATTTCAAACATAACTGGTGAAAAGTTTTTTTTTTATGTAATTTGTTGCGTGGTGTCTGTTACTTTAGATTAACTAATCATAGTCGTTTAAGGTTGCTGCATCTCCAAAGTATTTTCATTTGTTTGTAAGGTTTTTTTTTTTTATTAAAGTTATTATTAAATTATTATAAGTGAACAAATGTCTCCAGTAAGACGAAAAAATCATCCTGAGCAGAGGTTGTATGAATTCTTGGCTTACTTTATACAAACTATTAAAGATTTTACATGTGTACCAAAACCTGAAGGTTGATATTAGTATAATTACAGTATAATAAAAGGCATTTCGCTTCCTAAAAAGTATAAACTATCAAGCAGACGACAGAAGACATGTAGAAGCCTGTGTAAAACAGGTTTTTCCAGCAATGAAGAAATGCCCAAGAAATTGATGCATCACATATGATACAGCAGGTTTTCTCTATTGTTCTAAAACAGCGCTTGTCCGAGCGTCCCCGTGTGGTACTGGAGATTTATATTATTCTTTTTGTATAGACCAGGGCTGCCCACACTCGGTCCTGGAGGGCCGGTGTCCTGCAGA